CGGAGGAATGAATTTTCAAAAGCGCGGAGAAACCCCGAACGGCTTTCCGAGGTCGAGTGAGTCCGGAGGGGCTTTCCCGATTGGAAAATTCATTTTTCCCACCCTAATTAAGATGAACGAATGAAACCGATGCCGATCGATAGAGAATTAAATTCTCAATAAATGACAGCGGTTTCATTACTTAATCCCAAGTAGGAGCGGAGGAATGAATTTTCAAAAGCGCGGAGAAACCCCGAACGGCTCTCCGGCGTCGAGTGAGTCCAGAGTAGTCCAATGAACGAAGGTCTAACATACGAATGTTTGCTAATCAGGCTCCATTTTTGATACAATATGTGATTTGGGCGTATAAAACTAATGGGAGATGTTTAAGGTTTCCCAAGTTTGTGCGGGGGTTGAAAAAGCCAAAAAACTACCACTGAAAACCGTTTTTTCGAAATAACTCGTGAATAACGCGCTGTACGTCCAAAAATGTAATACACAAAGTTGTAGAGCTAAAAATTCTACACAAAAAATATTTGAAACACTTTACCCCTATTTCCAACCATTCATCCCCCAGAGCCGCGTAAAGATCAGATGGGAAAAAAAAGTTTTCCATTTAAAAAATTGAAGTTAATGAATTTTTTTTTTGTAATTCGGAATATCAGTGTTTGTTTTTCAATAGCTTGTTTATTTATTCAGAGCGAATTTAATATATGTTACTATTTATATCTTGACACTGAATCGATGAATTCATTTTTTTTTCTTCCATATTTTTTATTAGAACATTTACCACAAATTTTGTCTTGATCGTACCTGCGAATCTCCTATGGATTCAAAGTTAAACGCAATTTTCTAGCTCCAACCCCTCAATCCGGCGACGGGAATGAGAACCTTTTGTGCGAGAGAGACGTCTCCGTCTCGTTCCCACTCGCTACAGCACTGTTGCGACCATTTGCGCATGCGCGCAAGGGCCTGTGGAACATCACGGACTGAATGCGAGAAAAAGAATCATTTGAGTTTTTTCGTCAGCCGTTCGCTCTCTCTCCCTCTCACTCTCTCTCACTCTCCCGGATGAAAAAAAGGCTGTTGGACGGTGAACTAACTCTCTTGTGGTGTCTGACTTACTGGTGTCACTACGAAGAGTAGGTCACACTGAATTACCCAAAACAGCTCAAACTCTCATTGGCATAAAGCACAATAGACCTCTGAAGGCCATGACAAGTGCTTCTGTAATTGCAAACGAGTTCCTCCAAGGAGAATATTCATGGTTAGGTATTAAGGCAGGGTTGAGGAAAGTTATTCGACCGGATATATATACTGAAGACACTATTTCAGTTTTTGTGCACATAGATGGTATGCAAGTCTATAAAAATTCTACGAAGACCGTATGGCCAATCGCCATTAAAGTGCACCATTTCAATTATAAAACAAAACCATTTGTCGCGGGAATTTACTGTGGTGATGCTAAGCCATTATCAGCAGCTGATTATCTGAAAGATTTCGTGGAAGAGATCAATGAGCTCATCGAGGATGGAATAAGATTGCACAATACACAGTATAAATTCAAACTGTTGGGAATAATTGCTGATTCGCCAGCACGAGCGTTCGTCAAATTGATTAAACCTCCTGGTACATTTTTTGCATGTGAACGATGCGAGACACAAGGCCGAAGCGTAAAGACGGCCAAGGGATCAAAACGAATCTACCCAGATATGACTGCTGCCAAACGCACAAGAGAAACATTCATCGATCAAAGTCAACCGTCACATCATCAAGGTTTTTCACCGCTCATCGAAATTGCAGAATTTGATCCTGTGAACTGTGTGATTTTAGGTGTTATGCATTTGTGGTATTTAGGCGCACAGAAATGGTTGCTGAACAAGTGGTTGTGTCTCAAAAATTGTGTAAAAATTACACGTATCCACAAAGAGCAATTGAGATTGCGTTTAAATGCTTTATCTTCTGATGTTCCTCAAGAATTTCAAAGGAAAAAATTTGATTTGCGATTACTTTCTAACTGGAAAGCGACGCAATTAAGATTCATTCTGCATTATGCTGGCCCTCTGATTTTCAAGAATATTCTACCCCAAGATTATTATGAACATTATCTCCTGTTGGTTGTTGCGTGTCGCATTTTAACTCACGCAGATTTGATAAAAAAATTCAGAGAGTATGCCATGTACTTGCTACGTCAATTTTTTTTTTATGTTGCCTGAATTATACGGACCAGGTGCTCAGGTATTGAGTCTGCACAATTTGATTCATGTTGCTGATGACGTCAAAACTTTTGAATTACCTTTGACTGAAATTTCAGCTTTATGGGACGAAAACTACATTGGAACATTCAGAAAACTCATTAAGTCGCAGCATAAACCTCTGACTCAAATTATCAACCGAGTTTCGGTACGTGAGTCTGCTGACTATTTGCAAATTGAACGCAAACATTTCATCTCAGATTGTATACTGGATGATAGAGCTCAAATTATTGAGTATAATGATAATAATTATCAATGTTTGAGCCAAATAAAAATTAATGATTCAACTTTGTTGTCAAATTCACCTGACAATGTCGTTATGCTGAGAAATGGTGAAATTGTGTTTATAAATCAGATTGTCTCCGATTTTTCCAACTCTATTTGTCTAAAAAGTGAAAATATTGTTGTGATTGGACAAAGAGAAACATCGCGTTTTGATTTATTCACGAATCCAATCTCGTCCATTGACATCGGTATTGTTGTTATCACCGCTTTTGAAAAAAAATGTGAAATTATATCGGTGTCAGAAATTCAATGTAAATGTGTATTGCTGAATGTCAAGGGAAAAAAAGAGTCATTTCGCTATTACATGGTCCTTAAAGTTATGTAATAATATCTATAATAAAAATATCGGTTCATAGAAAGACTAGTTAAATTGATTTATTCATCTATTGTAATTCATATTCCCATTCAATTCTCTTGCTTTTTCATTATTAGCTTTTCACAGCTAGCCGCATATTGCCACAGCGTCACATACACAGTCACACGGCAGTATTTTCGGGATGCTCCGCTAGAGGCGTTTACACAACGTAGTTGATAAACGTTAAGGAAACCTTGAGCGTCCCTCAAAGAACCGGTAAAGATTGTGAAATAATTCCGCTTTTCAAAACATTATTAATTATCAGACAAGTAATAGTTAATAACTATTTGAGTGTAACGTTACAAGGTAAGAAAAATTCTTTTACACTCTCTTGTACTTTATTCGAATGGGATATTAAGAAATTTATAAAACAACTCGTGGTCAGTGCTCTTAACCTCTTGTTATCAGTACTACTGCAAATATCAACGCTCGTGAGGAACATTTCAGCAAAAATCAAATTCGCATTGATTAACTTTGATTTTAAGTACAATTCAATTCCATTTTTTTTTCATGGCGTCAATTCAACGGCTAAGTGATACGACTGTAACGATGTATAAGTGTGGTTTTTCACCGTATGTGTGTGTGGTTTCAGATGATCTATATGATACGAAGAATATCTAAGTGAAATTAAATATAATTTCGTTCACATAAATTCAGAAATGATGGATTCGATATATGCTATTGTAATTTTCGATGAGGTGAATAAAAAAGGTGAAAAGTTGATGGATATTGTTCCAATGTCCTGGGTTACTGAGGAAAAAGACGGTGAATTTACTTGCAAATATTTTCCTAACGATTCCTTCGAGAAAAGAGAATATTTTCTGAAGAATTTGACACCAGCCCACAAAAATTGGCCTGAGTACCCAGTTGAACTGCTCTCCACTGCAGGTAAGAATGAGGAAATTTGAAAACAAAGAAGTTCCATTCCAACGCTGACTTTGTTTCAATCTTTAAGACTCTTTGGAGAAAGCAAAGAGACGTTTGAATAAGGCAAAAACCACAGTAAACGTCGATACCACAGATACTGAATGCAGTGCTCAGAATAACAAGAAAACATCGACAAAATCTGATCTTCCAGCCAATAAGCAGTTGAAGCAGATTGCATCAATGAGGAAATTCGCTTCGGCAAGAACCTCTCCTGTGCATGAAATCAGTGACAGTGAAGATGATGATTCTGAGAGTGCCAAGTCGCAAAAGAAAACAGGTATTTGAAGCCATTTTTATGTTAATTTTGTTTATTGTAATTCATTTTTAGACTTATACACTAATCTATTCAAAATTGCAGTTAGGTTATTAGTAAAAATTGATTCAATTATTGTAATCAGCTCTAGTAATTATCACCTAGCTCAGTGCAACATTTTAGTGGTTCAACATGGATCAACTCATATAGAATACATATTTTATTTTTTAAATGCTCAAAACGTGGCCTGAAAATTACCTTTTCGTTTTTCTTCCATTTTTTTGCGTTTTTTTCAAAATATTTCGAAAGTGAACGGAGATACGACATTCTTATGTAGATTTTTTTGTGTCTCCCGAAATAGGTTATAAAAAAAGTCCTCGGTCAAAAACACTTTTTTTCTGATCAACATTCCTAAAATGTTTCTTTAAATTAATGCAAACGAATAAGAATCGTCAAATGTAGATTTCTCCAACGAAAAATGAAGACATTTTGTTTCTCCAATGAAAAAAAAAAACAATTAATTTTGATAAGGAATTCGAGATGTTCTTATATTTTTGAAAAATATTTTACGTGATTTCTCAGTGAAAACACTATTTGAATTTTTGTTGCATTTTATTTTTTACTCTCTCCAGGCGGTTTCAAAAAGGATGTACCCAAAGTTTTGACGGATTTGGACGATTCAAGCGACGATGGAATCAACAATATCCAAGGTGAACAACACAATGATTAATTTCTTTTTTTTTCCAATCAGTTTTTTCTTCGTAATTTTTTTATCATTACAATCCATTGGTAATGTTCGAACACATTTTTTTTTCAATAGAGCAGGCAGATGAATTTTGCTAGGAAATCCTGAACTTTTTGCAAATTTTTGAAAAAGTTTCCACGTGTTTTCTTCAATTAAAACACTATTTTAATGTTCATTGCATATTCTTTTTTTTTCTCCAGCTGGTCTCAAGAAGAATTCATTGGCAGCAAAGGCTGCAAGGAATGTGGAAAATTCAAGTGATGACGAGCAGGTCCTGCAGAATAGTCGAGGTATCAATTCATTATTAACTTTATTTTATTTTATTCCTTTTTTCTATAACGGTCAACTTCTTCTCAATAATTTTTTTCATTTCTTGAAATGGAAGAATTAAAATTAAAATTAATTTAATTTTTTAAAAAGTGGGTCATGTCAATGTTTGAGGAAATCATCTTTTTCATTTTTTTTAACTAAAGGAAACGTTTATAATGTATGATAGAGCACTCTGGAGTTTTTTTCATTCAATTCACAAATTGTGATTTATTTAAATTTTCGTTCTTTTTTTATTTGTGAATTGATTTTTTAGCTCTGATCAGAAAATTGTCAAGCATACACACTCATTGGATCAAAATTATCTTTTTTTTTCTGGTTTTCATCCATTAAGAATTAAACTTCCGAAATAGAGAAAATTTCATTTGCTTTCTCACTTTGTTTATTCATGTTCAAATATTAATACGCAAAAGCTAATTGTTTATGCTTTTTTCAATCAAAGAAAAATTTTTATGAAATCTTTTTATAGGTCAAGCTGATAATTTGCCTGAAGGAAGAAAAAATAATTCATCGCAGTTTAAAAATTTGACAAAACCTGTTGTCCAGAAACATTTGTCAATGTCTGTCGTTCAGGATGAGCGTTCTCGTGGTACAAATTGATATAATTTATAATATTTATCTCAAGATTTTTGTGAAAATTGTTGATTCATAAGAATTTTTTTGTTTAGATTTTCTGCAACAAATACGAGAAATTATTCACGCAGAAGTGGAGAGTGCTAAATTGAGTATACTTCATGATCTAGCAGCAAAAGTAGGTCAGATGCAGAATACAATTCTTCAGACTAACATTCCAACCACTCCACATGGATCGCCTAATGAACTGATCAAAAAATTGGATACGAAATTTCCTATCCAATCTCTCAATGATTTTTTAGATTTTGATAAAAAACTTGAAGATGAAAGCCAAGCAGATGCCCTGGTTAGTATGCAAAACTCGTTTTTTTTCTCAATTGAACAAAATATTTTTACTTTCCTATTTTCAGCGTTCTCTTTATCGAGTGCTACTGTTCAGAATCGATAAGCCTTCAAGTTGTGTGAAAACATGAATGGGCCATACTCTGTCGAAAGAGGTATCACTGCAATACTTTGGTTCAGGTAGAGATGTAAATGGCAAACACAAGTTAAGTTCGAAAGAAACAAAAACTAGTCAAATGATGAAACAAGCCATAATCACTCAATTTAATGATCAAACGGAAAAGGATATTCAGAAGCTTATGGCTACCTGGCTATCAGGGGCAGGAGACAGAGACGGCGGTCGTCGTGAACGAGATGAAAAACGAAAAGTTCAAAACGAAAAAGAAAACTAAAGACAAATATTTTTTCATTAATCGTTGTGTTATCTACTTCAAATATTTAATATTTTATAAGGTGAACTGTCGAGATAAAGGATGTTTAAGGCTACTAATATTCAATAGTTCTTTGAGATAAAAACTTGGATAAAAGTTGCATAAAAAAGTTGTGTGGAAAATATATTCAAATTATCAATAATCTTGGAAAATACACTACGAAAAAACCGCTTTTATGCTTTATTTTTTTTCAAATGTATGTTGAAAAAACAGTTTAAAAATTAATAATAATTAAAAGAAACTTTGCATTATGAAAAAAGTTTTCTTCTTGTAACAGAATATCTGAAAATAAATGATCGATTGGAAGAATAATTGACAGAATTACAGTGAAACTGATTGAGACAAACTTGTAGAAAAATTATCCATTAATAGTAGCGCAGGTCCGTAGCGCAGCACTATTAATTGGCTCACTGGAATTTGCTACTAATGGCCACATATTATTTGAACGTTGGATCCAGGATGGAATAATTAAACGGCCAATATTGGAATTTAGTGTACTAATATTGGACCAATTATTGACCGATACTGGAACCTTACTTGGGCCCGTGACATGGCCCTTACAATTGTACACTTATGGGCCAGTTGTTATTATCCACATATTGGGCCAATAATAAACCAATTGATTGGTCTATAATTGAACAATATTGGTACTTGGCACACCAGCCTTGGTCCAATTGTGGGCCAAGACTGCAACCTTAATTGGGCCCGACATGATCCCAATGCTTGGTCTATTATTGTTAGCCATTGTCGGCCCGGCGTTATCATCCAAATGTCGGACCAATGATCGACCATTCAATTTACCAATAGCCGGCCACAACTGGCGATTGGCATACTAAGCTTGGACCAAGGCTCGACCAATACTAAAATCCTACTTGGGGATGGGGAATTTAATCCTCCGTCGAACTGTTTTTTTTCATCCCTTAATCTCAATTAGGAGGGGAGAGGTGAATTTTTAATTCGCGGGCGAATGGTGAAAAGTCAGGGTGCGCCGCGGAAAAAATTATTTTTCTTACTGGCCCCTGATTTTCATGGCAGTTTTTATTTCTTTGTTACAGAGATTAAGGGATGAAAGGGGGTTAATTGATGGGGAATTTAATTCTCCGTCGAACTGCCATTTTTTCATCCCTTAATCTTAATTAGGAGAGGAGAGGTGAATTTTTAATTCGCGGGCGAATGCCGAAAAGTCAGTGTGCGCTGCGATAGAATTATTTTTCTTACTGGCCCCTGATTTTCATGGCAGTTTATATTTTTTTGTTACAGAGATTAAGGGATGAAAGAGGTTAAATTGATGGGGAATTTACNTTAAGGCCCGGCCTGCACAGCTAGTAACTATTTTTGTGACTTTTACCCCCCTAGGTTTTGCGGCCGACTCCGAAGCTCGATATCAAATTTGCACGGTCGGTAACAGCGAATGTGTCAAAGTATGATAATTTACCAGGACCGTGTAGGGCTCCGAAGTGAGGGTGACTAATTTTCCCCCCCAAAAATTTCAACCCCCATGGACCCCCTTTCATTTTCAAAAGGATGTATAAGGCAAGGATAAATGTATCAAATGGGGGGAGGGAAAAGGGCGGAGGGGGGGTAAAACCCCACATACTTCGATTTTTCTAGTAAAAAAATATTTTTATTCTAAGGGTGGCAAACTGACTAAATTTTTTGAATACAAAATGTTGAGGGGTTCTCCCTCAATCCTCAAAAAAATATACGACTCATGAACGGCATGGCGAAGGGGGAAGGGGGGGTAAAACCCGTCATTTTTTCATTTTTCTAGTATTAAAAATAATTTTATTATAAGGGTGGCACACTGACTACATTTCTTTACTACTAAATGTTCAGGGGCTCTCCCTCAACCCCCCAACAAATATTCGACTCGTGATGGATTGGGCAAAGGGGCGAGGGCTGGTAAAACCCCTCATTTTTTGATTTTTTTAGTAAAAAACATCTTTTTATTATAAAGGTGAGAACTTCGCTACATTTTGTGACTAAAAAATGTTCAGGGCTCCCCCTCAACCCCCCAACAAATATTCGACTCATGAAGGGTAGGGTGAAGGGGCGAGGGGAGGTAAACCCTTTAATTTTTCGATTTTTCTAGTAAAAAAACTATTTTTATTATAAGAGTAACAACTTGACTAAATTTTTGGACTAAGAAATGTTCAGGGGCTCCCCCTCAACCGCCCTAAAAATATTCGACTCATGATGGCTAGGGTGAAGGGGCGAGGGGGGGTAAACCACATAATTTTTCGATTTTTATATTAAAAAAAATATTTTTATTATAAGAGTAACAACTTGACTACATTTTTGAACTAAAAATTGTTCAGGGGCTCCCCACTGAAACTCAATCCCCCAAAAAATATGCCACTCATCGAGGGTAGAATAAAAGGGCAAGGGGGGGTAAAACCCCTCATTTTGTCATATTTTTGGTATAAAAAATTATGTTATTATAAGGGTGGCAAACTGCCTACATTTTTTGATTACAATATGTTCAGGGGCTACATTTTTCGATTTTTCTAAGAAAAAAATATTTTTAATATAAGGGTGACAACTTGACTAAATTTTTGGACTAAAAAATATTCAGGGCTCTCCCTCATCCCCCCAAAAAATATTCGACTCATAAAGGGTAGAGTGAAGGGACAAGGGGGGGTAAAACCCCTCATTTTTTAACTTTTCTAGTATAAAAAATAATTTTATTATAAGGGTGGCAAACTTACTACATTTTTTTACTACAAAATCTTCAGGGGCTCTCCCTCAACCCCCCAATAAGTATTCGACTCGTGAAGGGTTGGGCAAAGGGGCGAGGGGTGGTAAAACCCTTCATTTTTTTTTTAGTATAAAAAATATTTTTATTATAAGGGTGAGTACTTCACTAAATTTTGTGACTAAAAAATGTTCAGGGCTCTCCCTCAACCCCCCAAAAAATATTCGACTCATGAAGGGGACGGTGAAGGGGCGAGGAGGGGTAAAACCCTTCATTTTTTCATTTTTCTAGTATAAAAAATAATTTTAGTATAAGGGTGGCAAACTGCCTAAATTTTTTTACTACAAAATGTTCAGGGTCTCTCCCTTAACCCCCCAAAAAATATTCGACTCATGAAGGGTACGGTAAAGGGGCGTGGGGGTGAAACCCCTCATTTTTTGATTTTTTTAGTAAAAAAAATATTTTTATCATAAAGGTGAGAACATCACTAAATTTAGGGACTAAAAAATGTTCAGGGCTCTCCCTCAACCCCCCAAAAAATATTCGACTCATGAAGGTTATGGTGAAGGGGCGAGGAGGGGTAAAACCCTTCATTTTTTCATTTTTCTAGTATAAAAAATAATTTTATTATAAGGGTGGGAAACTGACTACATTTCTTTACTACCAAATGTTCAGGGGCTCCCCCTCAACCCCCCAACACGTATTCGGCTCATGAAGGGTAGGGTGAAGGGGGAAGGGGGAGTAAAACACCTTATTTTTTCATTTTTCTAGTATAAAAAATAATTTTATTATAAGGGTGGCAAACTGCCTAAATTTTTTTACTACAAAATGTTTAGGGGCTCTCTCTTNAATCATCTAATAATCTTACTTGATGACCTCGCTGCTGTAGGAAGGACTGGATAAATTCCGCCGGAACACGCCCGAGGACGTGGGGTTGACCGGCTGCCCCCTGATTGCTATTGTCTGCGAAGGAAAAGAAATAGGTTAGGATGCGATCCCACAACATTCACTGCCTTACACTTACAAAAAGAGTGTAATTTTTTATAATTTATCTTAACCGTTCTATTTTTTACTGCACCACACTACTTATGATCCAATGTACTGACGAGAAAGAGAAAGCAATGAGCGTATACTTACTTTCCATTATGTCTACGATGGTACTGTCCTCACTAGACAAGAAGGATGCTTGCGGCTTCTTCTTGGGCTTTTCACTGCGCGCGCAGCTCATACCTAATACCAGATCGAGCGTCCCAGTATACCCGCCAAATTCACAATTTATTTCTGTGAATACTANTAAAAAATGTTCAGGGGTTCCCCGTCAGTCCTCCAAAAAATATTCCACTGTTCGTGGATAGGGTAAAGGGGCGAGGGGGTGTAAAACCCCACATTTTTCGATTTTTCGAGAGAAAAAAATTTTTCTTATAAGGGTGACAATTTGACTAAATTTTTTTACTCAAAAATGTTCAAGGGCTCTCCCTCGACCCCCCTAAAAATATTTGATTCATCGAGGGTAGGGCAAAGANTAACGGCTAGCGATATCTATCGTGATTCCAGAAAATCGTAAATAATTTTGAACAATTTGAACATATCCGCTGATTTTCTACATAATTCTCGGGAAATAAATTTTAGTTGAATTTTTTAAATTTGAAAAAAAGTTTTAGTAATGGAAATTTCAAAAATAATTTGAGTAAGGGTAAATAAAATTAGTTTTATTTAGAAATTTTATAATAAAATTATTTTTTTTGCTGAAAGGGTTATTTTCACGAAAATGAGGGTATTTTTCGCAAAAATGGGGTTATTTTCGTCAAAAATTGAGTTGNCCACATTTTTCGATTTTTCTAGTAAAAAAATATCATAAGGGAATGATAGAGAAGACAATTACCATTAATTTCATTATTTATTCTTCATTTTTGAATGTAAAGGTGCAATCCACTCTCCCACCCTCCACGAGCTCCATCCCCTCCCTGACCTCTTCCCCCTCCCTGACNCGCCCAGCCGGGATTCGAACCCGGGTCTCCCAGTTACGCGCCGGACACTCTTCCAACTAAGCTACCGGGAACCACGGAAATTCTCACTCCAAATTCAACNTCTCTCCCTCAGTCTCTCCTGTACTGTCGCCTCCACAACCTGGTTGACCAATGCAATCACCTGGGCCTGCCTCGCAGGCTCAATCACTTGGCCAATGAGGGCTGCAAGACCTGCGATAGCAGCACCAGGTCGTGGGGGGACTATGGGGACTGCTGCTCCTGGAGCTTCTAATCCTGCA